TCACTTAACTGTTGAGTCTGCTGAACGCAACTATTGGGTGTATTCAGTACTACAACCGCTCACTGAGCGCTCAGTGCGAGCTCTCGTATCTGTTTGGTCTATATTTTTAGATCTAACGATACGGAATATGCTAATCAGATACAAGAGCTCACTGAGCTCTTAGTGAGCGGTTGTATAGTACTGAATGTACGCAATAAATATATACAGCGCTTGCGCGGCAGCACTGACTATATCGTCATCGATAGCCAATCGCACGCATAGAAGGACAGCGAACATTAATTGCGAGAACGAAAAAGCAATATCACAATAAACGCAATAATAGGAGACCTAATATGTAGAAATATATTGAAATATGTAGAAATATGTAGAAATAATACCAACACATGCTACAAAACAATGTCAAACATTTTTTGAAAAAATAATGGAGCAAGCAAAATTGTCTCATCATAATGATATCATTTTGACGTCAATGTGATATTGATTGAATTTATCGCATAATACTAAAATTATCATCCATATAACAATGATTTTCACCTTTTTCTATAATATTTCCTCACTTAAGACATCATTCTACGTGGTATCAATTTTTCGTCATATTGAACTATTTCTTTGACGCCATGACGACAAACGACGGTTTTGACGTCTTATTGATGTCATATTGACTAAGTAGTTTTCACTGGGTAACTTAAGTCTAAGTAAGTGTTACGACAATTCTTGTGCTCAGACCCTAAGGGCCCTGGCACACAAAAAACTTAAGGCAGTAAGACGTAAGTAGTAAGGAAATCAACATGTTGGATTCACTATTCGATGCTTACGTTATGGCCTTATGGACTCTACTGTGATTGGTCAATTCGCTTACTGCTTACATTTTACTGCTTAAGTTTTTTGTGTGCCATGGCCCTAACGCTACCAATACACTACCTCGGAAGGAATAGGGTGTATTCGTTTATGCAGTGGATAGCGCATCCACTGCTTTGTCACATGACCTAAATTGACCGAACGGACCTCTGCATGAATGACTGCTCGTATCGCATTGGTTCGTATCTACCAATAGAATTTTTGATGCTTATTACGCATCTTTAAATGATCTTAATAATGAATGACATATTGAAATCTGTAAATAATTAATTCTTATTGCGAAAAATATTACCTCGGCTGAGAGTCGAACCCGGATCTCTGGCATTCCGTGCGAGCATCCTAAGCTTTTAGACTACCGAGGCAATATATTTTCCATTATACATGTATTTTACCTTGAATTATTTCTATTTTAGTAGGATTGATTTTAAATATTTGTTCTTCACCCTTTTCATTTAAAGATATTTTAACGAAATTCATTTTGCTACTTAATCAAACCTAATCAAACCTAATAACAACTGGCTATTAGCTGGCGGTATCTGGTGATTGCAGCGCAGTTTGTCGTTCGTTTACGCAATACTGCGAGCAGCAGCAATCACATAATTTCGAGCGAATTTTTTCGTTCTTCACTTTCCGCACGTTCTGATTCCACGTAAACTTTTTCACGAATCACAACGATTACGTAACTTAAGAGGTGTAAAAAGTGAAATCACTAAACACAGATTAAGATAGGGATTATGAAAATAACTAGACTCAGATTTTGTTTCGCCGCGGTGTTTTCGAAGTGTGAAACAGTCAGTCAACGTGTAACAATAAACAGAAACAATGAATGTTACAAGTAAACAAAAAGAGATATTATTGACATTATTGAAAGCCAATCCAGAATTGGTAAGAGGACGCATGAACAGAAAAAGCGAAAGTCGACGAAAAATTGTAAGTTAAACTAAAGAATATTATAAGTAAAAGATTAATATTAGATTAATATTAATATTAAGATAAAAGATTAATAAATAATGTATATTTAGGCGGAAGGCTGGGATGAAATTGCTAATAATATTAACGCGCATGCAGTAGGACCTAAAAAAAATGGGAAAGAATGGGCAAAGGTTAACTTTATATGTAACTTTATATAAACTTTATATATATATATATACTACTCTATCTATAGTGAGATATATATTAACACTACTATAAATAAGTACATTAATATTTAATATAGATATTATACATATATATGCTAACCTTACATACATAAAATTGTTAATATTTTCTATAATGTCTTCCAGACATGGAAAGATATTAAATCATATATATTAAAGAAAGAGGCAAAAAGGCGGACTTATATGCAAGGAACTGGAGGTGGCCCTAGTATTAATATATCTTTCACAAATTTTGAAGAAGAAGTTATAGAATTCTTAACACCTGAGGCAGCTGGACTAGAAGGTATTCCTAAAGGTGGTATCAATTTAACATTGTAACGATGCACCCGCAAAGGCATCGTTCCCAATCGGTCTTCCGTCGGATGCCGCTGCACCCCGC